GGGAGAGCAGAGGCGGGGGGGGGGGGAGCAAACAAGACCACAGTGAGCCTTACGCTGGATTTCTGCATAATTATTCCCAACTAAAAATGTTTTCAGTCTAGTTTCAGAGCTAGTCTCACCATTATCAAATTGAAACCCGGGGGACAGCACACGTCTCCCAATTCTTTTCCAGCGATTTGCTGTGCACTAACGAACGGGTGACAGCACATGGAAGGCTTTCCAGTAGTTTTAATGGATTAAATTTGGACACTCACAGACACTGTCACGAGAGTAGTGCAGGGTATAGAACTAACACATGGTACCTTCTGCTGATCGATCATAGGAATGAGACTGGTTTAGAGTTTGGGCCACAGGTAACAGGATGCGTTTTCATCGTGTGAGAATTTTCAGCAAATAATTTGCTCCTACAACTATAAGAAGTTTTTTTTTCATATTAAAATGGGGAGGCAGAGGGGAGGAGGGAAGAGAAATAAGCAATCCATCTAGCAAAGTCAACTTTCCCTTCCCAAAGGTGGGGAGATTTGTTTAAAAATGATGTTGGAGGCCTCCTCTCGGTACTGAGACGCTATTCCTGTGGTCAGATAAAACTCCTCATATTCAGTCTTCTCACAGTTATCTTTTCTGGTTTCAGCTGCAAGTTTTCTGACATGGTATCTGAAAGAGTTCTTCCCTTTGAAGAAAGGAATTCGGAGCAAGTTTCCTCCTGCTCTTGCATTGTTTGAAGTCAAGCGTTGTTGTTATGGGGATGAATCAAATATATAATTAAAGACCAAGTTTAAGTTTGGGCTGTTTTCTTTGGAAATAGAGCTAGAACTGTGAGTCTAATTGATTTTTTGCTTCAGTGGCCAAACTGAAATAAAATAATTCTCTTCATATGATCTGAAAGCGAAAATTTGAGGGCTTTGGAAAAAAAAAACAACAAACCCCACAACATTCTATTCTTAGACATTTTAAATTTCTTTTTTTATTTTTTTTTTTAATAAAAGACAATAAGTGTCTGGATTGATATGGATATGTTAGAGCAGGGTAGGGAAAGAAGTAGTTCCCAGCTATAAATGGCTGTCCTGCTTGCTGAACAATAGCACAGTACCCCTGTAAGCATGGTTTGAAAGAAATAAAAATACGCTGTTTAATCCAACTATTCCAACAGAGGTGAGGAGGATCATCATTTTCTTTGGCTGAAACTGTTGGGAAATTCTGCTCTAAGTTACAAATATTTTTTGCGTACAAATAGGTAAAGTTTTGCCTAACTGTAAAAAGAAATATGGAAATAGTCTGATGGAGCTTGCTGGGAACAAGAGAAAATACTTCTTCAAGCAATAGATTGAGCTGATGGGAATCTGATCACTTGCTATTGATGATGAAAAGACAGTTTCAAAGCTTTTTAGTAGGGTTTTTTTGTTGGTATTCACCCCTAGCTTGTTTTTTTAACTAAGGGGAAGCATTGATTCAGCAGGTTTTTTGTTGAAAATAAAATGAAATGTTTATTTTTGTCATCTGGTATTTAAAGTCCAACAGGTACCATCTTTTTCTTGAATTACCAGAGGGAGAGGTGAGGCGCTTGGATGAACAGACTGTAGAGATCTTGGGGGAAAAAAGTCTGAACTAAACCAAAACCAGGCGTCCCGCCTCCCATTTAACCTAACAATTTTGTATCAGGAATTGGCAACATAATAGCAGCCATTTCAAAGGCACTGGTTTACCATTATGAATATAAAAAAAAGAGAAGCAATTCAAAATCTTGGCTACTGAAAACCTTCTGCGTTACCTTCTTAAAAAGCGAGAAAACAAATATGACTAAGGATATCCGTGGCATTTGATCTTCGTAAACACTCACTTCTTAGTTGCTAGGCAGGTCTATTCCCATTTTATAGAAATGGCAAAAAGAAAAGGACAAAACTGGCGCAGAACAGCGCAGGAAATCAGTGGCAAACACACTTAAAACTCCAGGGTCCCAGCTTCCATTTCCTAGGCTTGTTTTTCCTCAATTTGTAATGAATAATTATGTAG